GGTGTTTACAAAACACTCACTACTCACAAGAAAACTCTCTAGTATTGGGAGAAAGAAATGATTTTTGGGATGGTTTTGAAGCTAAATGAGCTAGGGTATTTATAATTGAAACTTAAGGACTTAATCTTGTAAATACCCTAAAACCTAGGGATTAATTGTGATTATCCCATTATCATTTTTCAACAAACATCTACCAAACTTTGAAAAACTATTTTTCAAAGAAACATTTACCAAACTTTGAAAACCATTTTCAAAGAAACATTTACCAAACTTTGAAAATCATTTTTTCAAAGTTGGTTACCAAACTTGAAAACCATTTTAATACTTTCAACAATCTCCCACTTGAAGACTGATTTTAATCTGTCTTCACACCTCGATCTATGCAACAGCTTTTCTAGTCTTGTTACTCTAGCATGCCAACTGAAGTTGAACACAACTTCAGTTTGTCTGTAGTCACCGTCTTTGTCAACATATCTGCCGGATTTTGAGCTCCACTGATCTTTTCAAGTTTCAAAATCTCATCTTCCAGAAGAGACCGGATAAAATGATATCGCAATTGTATATGCTTTGTCCTGGAATGAAAAGACGGATTCTTTGCTAGATGTATAACACTTTGACTGTCCCAATACAAGACATTGTTTTCTTGTTTATTGCCTAACTCTTCCAAGAAACTTTGGAGCCAAACCATCTCCTTGCTAGCTTCCGTAACAGCGACATATTCTGCTTCAGTTGTGGAGATAGCAACTATCTTCTGTAGTTGAGAAACCCAACTCACTGCGGTTCCTCCTAGAGTATAGACATACCCTGTAGTGCTCCTTCTAATGTCAACATTTCCGGCTAAGTCAGCATCTACATAGCCTGTCAGTATCGTTTCTCCACCTTTGAAACAAAGTGCTTTGTTTGTGGTACCCCGCAAATATCTGAGGATCCATTTGACTGCTTCCCAGTGTACCTTGCCCGGATTATTCATGTACCTGCTAACAGCTCCCACTGCTTGAGCAATATCTGGTCTGGTACAAACCATGGCATACATCAGACTTCCAATCGCTGAGGCGTACGGCACCTTCACCATGTGTGCACGTTCTTCCTCCGTATTTGGTGACTGTTCTTTGGAGAGTCTGAAATGAACACCTAAAGGTGTACTTACTGGTTTAGCATCTTGCATGTTGAACCTGGAGAGTACTTTGTTGATGTACTCAGCCTGTGATAATATCAAAGTCCTTGACTTTGTGTCTCTCTTGATCCTCATCCCAAGAATCTGCTTTGCAGCGCCCAGATCCTTCATAGCAAACTGCTTTGACAATTTTTGCTTCAAGTTTATAATCTCTTGCATGTCTGAGCCTGCAACGAGCATGTCATCAACGTACAACAATAAAATAATGAAGCTATTGTCGAACCTCTTGATGTAGCAACAATGATCTGCTTGGCATCTGGTAAAACCACTGCTACTCATGAAACTATCGAACTTCGTGTACCACTATCTAGGATCTTGTTTTAAACCATACAAGCTCTTCTTCAACCTGCATACCAGGTTTTTCTTGTCTGCCTCTATGAAGCCTTCTGGCTGCCTCATATAGATTTCTTCCTCCAAATCACCATGAAGGAAAGCTGTCTTTACATCTAACTGCTCAAGATGTAAATTCTCTGCAGCTACAATTTTCAACACCAGTCTGATTGTAGATAACTTCACGACTGGAGAGAAAATTTCATTGTAATCAATACCTTCTTTTTGTTGAAAACCTTTGACAACCAATCTTGCTTTATAGCGTTTGCTCCCATCGTGCTCTTCTTTGATCCTGTAAATCCACTTGTTATGGAGTGCTTTCTTGCCTGGTGGTAATTCAGCTAATTCCCATGTCTGATTTGACATAAGCGAGTCCATCTCATCTTTCATGGAAGACTCCCACTTGACTGAATCCTCCAGTTGCATTGCTTCATCATAGCACTCTGGTTCACCATTGTCAGTCAGCAACAAGTAGTGCAAAGAAGGAGAATACTGTTGGGTTGGTTTAGGAATTCTGGAGGAGCGTCTTAGTTCCGGTGTGCCTGGTTCTTCTTGAACTGCTTCAGGACTGATCTGAACATCATTTCCAGAAATCTCCTCAAACTCAGCAAATTCCTTTGTTTCAGCTTTGGTATTGGAGCTTCTTGATTCTACAGTTGACCTGTCTTTGTACATCACATTCTCATTGAAAATGACATCTCTGCTTCTAATGATCTTCCGATTTTTGTAGTCCCAAAACCGGTAACTGAACTCATCACCGCCGTAAACAACAAATGAACATTTGTTGGACTTAGCATCAAGTTTACTTCTTTCAGCAGAGTCTATGTGTACATAAGAAATACAACCAAACACTCTTAAGTGTGAAAGGTTTATTTCTTTCTTGCTCCAAACTTCCTCTGGTATTCTGCCATCCAAAGGAACTGAGGGCCCACGGTTGATCAAGTAAGCTGCAATGTTGATAGCTTTAGCCCATAGAAATTTGGGCAATCCGGCATGTATCCTCATGCTTCTGGCACGTTCATTCAGAGTTATGTTCATGCGTTCTGCTACGCCATTCTGCTGCGGTGTCATGGGAACTGTTGTCTCCATCTTGATCCCATTGTTTGCGCAAAAATCTCTGAATCTCCTATTTCTGTACTCTCCTCCATTATCAGACCTCAACCGCTTGACTTTCATACCAGTCTCGTTTTCCACCATGGCCTTCCATTTTCTGAAGGTATCAAAGACTTCTGATTTTTTCTTCAGAAAATAAACCCACAACTTCCTTGTAGAATCATCGATGAAGGTGACATAATATAATGAGCCTGCAAGAGATGGAACTGGAGGTGGTCCCCATATATCAGTATGAACTAACTCTAACTTTTCAGCCTTAGGTGTCTTACCAATCTTTGCTAAGCTGACTTTCTTTTGTTTTCCAAAGATGAAATCCTCGCATAGTCCGACATCTACATTCTTTAGATCCGACAGCTTCCCCTTTGACAAAAGTGTCTTCATCCCTTTCTCGCTCATATGGCCAAGCCTTTGGTGCCATAGGTTTGATTTTCCATCAGCATCTGCTACTGCAATGATATTCTCTAAAATTGAGGTTACATAGAGAGTACCAGTCTTCTTACCACGAGCAATGACGAGTGCTCCTTTGGTAATCTTCCATTCACAGCCTGAAAAGGTTATATTGTATCCTTCTCCATCAAGCTGTCCTACAGAAATCAAATTTCTTTTGAGACCAGGAATATGTCTTACTCCTGTCAGCTTCCAGGTGGTCTGGTTTGGCAGCTTTAGTCGGATGTCTCCTTTTCCGACGATCTTCAAGGTTTCATCATCAGCAAGATGAACCTTCCCAAAATCACCACTGACATAGTTCTCCATGATTTCTTGGCATGGCGTGGAGTTGAAAGATGCCCCTGAATCCAAAATCCATGATTCAATCGGACTGTTGACGCTTAAAATCATAGCATCACTTGTCTCCTCCGTCATGTTGGCAGATTCCTGTGCGCCGATATTTTTCTTCGGTGCTCGGCAATCTCTTTTGAAGTGGCCCTTCTTGCCGCAATTATAACAGGTAAAATCTTTATTTCCTGTTCTTGATTTTCCCCTTCTGGATTTCAATCTGCCACGATTTGAATTTCTTTATGAAGTTCTCCCTCTGGACTCCGTGTGCAAGGCTGAGGAGGTTGATGCTTCACCCGATTCTCTCCGTCGAATTTCTTCGCTCAGTACCAGATCCCGAACATCGTCGAATTTTAATTTTATGTTTCCCGATGAACTGCTGACTGCTGTAACAGTAGCATTCCAACTGTCTGGTAAAGATGATAAGAGAATTAAAGCTCGAACTTCATCATCAAATTCAATTTCCACTGAACTCAACTGGGTTGTGATTGTGTTGAGATCATTTAGGTGTTGTGCCACCGATGCCCCTTCCGTCATCCGCAAATTAAATAATCGCCTCATCAAATGAACTTTGTTTGAGGCCGATGGCTTCTCATACATACTGGAGAGAGCCGTCATAAGACCCGCCGTGGTCTTTTCCTTTGCTATGTTGAAAGCAACATTGCGGGATAACGTCAGTCGGATAACTCCGAGGGCTTGTCTGTCGAGAAGAGCCCAGTCTTCATTCTTCATGCCCTCTGGTTGTTTTCCTAAGAGAGGTTGATATATATTTTTCTGGTACAGAAAATCTTCAATCTGCATCTTCCAAAAGCCAAAGTCCGCACTATCGAACTTTTCAATTTTCACCTTCCCTTCGTCTGCAGCCATCGCTCCCACTCGAATCTGGTTTCGTTTGGATCGTTTCTGACAATTCTTGCGAACCACCGTGTATTAGAACACCTCCGTCGACAAATTTGTATCGCCGACAAAATTTTACTATTCACGAAATTCACTATTCACGTGAATAGTAACCTCGCAAAAATTGACAAAATTCACAACCAAAAAGCTCTGATTACCAGTTGTTGGGAAATAAACCAAGTACAAGTAATTTCCCTATAACCAGATTAGTGAGAATGCAAAATAAAAGCGGAAAAATAATACCCGAAATTGATAACGGAGTTCAGCCAATTGTGCTTACGTCTCCGGACTGCTGCAGATCTTTTACTAAGAGAGAAAATTTACAGGTGTTTACAAAACACTCACTACTCACAAGAAAACTCTCTAGTATTGGGAGAAAGAAATGATTTTTGAGATGATTTTGAAGCTAAATGAGCTAGGGTATTTATAGTTGAAACTTAAGGACTTAATCTTGTAAATATCCTAAAACCTAGGGATTAATTGTGATTATCCCATTATCATTTTTCAACAAACATCTACCAAACTTTGAAAAATTATTTTTCAAAGAAACATTTACCAAACTTTGAAAATCATTTTTTCAAAGTTGGTTACCAAACTTGAAAACCATTTTAATACTTTCAACAGTTAGTACACATCCACAAATAACTAACTCAACGTATTTAGACCGATACAATTATTTTACACGTAATGAAAGTAGGTCCAATAAGTTGCTATGATATCTTTTCTAATCTAAAACAGAAATAACGATGGCTGAAGTTTCGATATGAAGGACATATTATATGTCTAGCGAGCTTGAATCATAGTGATCGATACAACATTTACAGAGTTAGCTACTTCAAGACTTTTCTTCTCTAGAAATCCAGGTTGTTCCGGTGACGGGAGAGTTTCTTCGTTACTCAACATAGAGACAACCGTAGACATCGTTGGTCGATGAGTTGCATGTTCTTGGACGCACAGCAGCCCAATTTGAATGCAATTCAAGATTTCATCTGTAGAATATGAATCACCTAATGTCGAGTCAACAACTTCCGTGGCTCTGTCTTCCTTCCACAACTCCCAAACCTGAAACAATGTTGTTTGAATGGAAGATATTGATTTAATTGATAAAACTTGATCGAATTGTTCTAAAAACTTGGTTACTTACATGTCCGACCAGACTCAAAGACGGACTATCAGGAAAATAACTGCTAATCTTTTTTCCAGTTATGATCTCCAACAGCAGGACGCCAAAGCTATAAACATCGGATTTCATTGAGAAGTGTCCTTCCATTGCATACTCTGGCGACATGTAACCGCTAGAAACAATACATACAACAGAAAGGAATTGGTTAGAACTTGTTCCAAACCTTTTGCCCAAGTATATGAAATGCTTACTATGTTCCAACTACACGTTTAGTATCGCCTTCTGTTTGATTTCCACCAAATATTCTGGCCATGCCAAAATCTGAAATTTTGGGATTCATCGATGCATCCAATAACACATTGCCCGCTTTCAAATCTCTATGAATGACTCTTAACCTGGAATCTTGGTGAAGATACAACATTCCTCGAGCAATACCACATATGATTTCAAAACGCTTTTTCCAATCCAACAGTGAACTTTTTGATTCATCTGTATCAGTTTTCAAAAGGATTAATCATCCCATAACTTATAAAGGTGGTATTTGGCATGAGTATTCAAAAATTCAAAAGAATACATACCGAAAATGATAGAGTCTAAGCTTTTGTTTGGTAATAACTCATAGATTAACATCTTCTCTTCACCCTCGATGCAACATCCCAGCATTCTTACGAGATTCCTGTGTTGAAGTTTTGCAATTAGCAGTATTTCATTCTTAAACTCCTGTACTCCTTGCCCTGAGTGCTTTGATAGTCTTTTCACTGCTATTTCTTTTCCATTTAAGAGCACACCCTGCAGATACAAAGGAATTTCCTTCAATGAATGGACCAGCAGGAGTTCTATGTACATAAGTACTTGTTAAGAGAAAACTACCTTGTAAACGGGGCCAAAGCCACCTTGTCCAAGTTTGTTATCAGAAGAGAAATTATTTGTGGCAACGGCTATGGTTCTCAAACTAAAGAATGGTAAATCTCCATTTCTTCCGCTCTCATCAGTCTCCTTTTCTCCTAAGGAATCCTCGAAATACAAGGATGTCCTAGTGGTAAAGCTGAAAATATTTTTGTTTGTTCTTGTTCTTGCTTCTTTCAGTCGAACACAATATCATGATTAAGCCAACTGTTAATCTCTACATGATGTGTAATCAATTTAATTGCAAATTAAACAGTGGTGAAAAGTTGTATGTACCTCTTCTTTTCCTTCGTACCAAGCAACGCAAGAAGGCAACAAGAATGAGAAACACTATAGCAGAAGAAATTATGATAGCCGCAAGCACTCCCTTCTTTTGAATAAGACCTTTCTTTGTATACCGAGCTGTTAAGATGGACATATGATTAGTATATATATATATATATATTAATGATTCGTTGTTAGTGCATATATGACACGTACCTAAATCGTTTTTATCGACTCGTATGAATAGATCTTGTCCCGTCTCGGTGTATGCCCTCGCATCCATCAAATCTCCGTGCCATGTCAAGCAGCCAACCCCTCCGTTGGTCTCAGAGTTTGCACTAGCATAAGCCATGCATGAACAATTTCTCAAGCACTTTTCCTCGCATTGCTTCAACCCTATACTCATGTCTACAAGTGCATGTGCCGAAGTATCTGGCACCTTCACATGTGGAAACTTAACGAACCCTTCTCCATTTCCACACATGGAGACATCACGCTTCCGCACGCATCCTCCTGTCCTATCTCTTACAATCCATGCTTCATGTGATTTGGGTTCGAATCCTGGGAAACATGTGCACTCGAAATCACCTAGATAAGGATTACAGTAACCATTTGGCCCACAATGTCCGTAAAAATCGCATTGTTCCTTGGGAATCGGTAAAAAAATCCAACGTCGGGCTTTGTTGTTCCAGATTATTCTTTGAACAACTCCGGTTTCATTCGTTACCCATCTTGTTATGATGGAGGCGTTTTTGGCATCGGACGAGAACGATACTTCATCATCAGTGTTGACAAAGGAATCATTAAATATGAAGTTGTTTGTCATTTGAGGTATGCCGCTCCATCTTTGCCCCGTCCATGTCCCGCTTCGCCACAAAGGAACCGAACCCTTGTAGAAAACCATTTGAGGAGACACGCCCGGGTTCATCCTGAAGGAATAGTTTCCAACCCCTGGATCATCCGGAGACTTCCAAGACGTGTATGCTTGGTTCAGACCGGTTCTCAAATTGAACCCAATTTTCATAAATGAAAGCCAAGTATTTGTAGGATAACCAAAACTCTGCCACAGTACAGCCTTTCTGGTATCATTGTGAATCAAAACAAGATTTCCTGAATCTAAAATTTGAGCATAAGAGTTCCTAGCGCCTGCGATGGAGATGTTAGTAGACCAAACAGGAAGTGTTTGGTTTCCCTGGAACAAGACAAGATTTCCTCGACCATCGATTCTGAGAATCCCCGAGGTATCCTTAACGGGATTGTCTCTGTTGGCTACCCAAACAACTGTCTTGCCCGGAATCTGGTAATACCAGATGCCAACATATCGATTCCTGGAACTGCCAGGGCTGAAAAATCCTAGTGCAAAAATCTTGCCACCAGACACTATGACTTCATTGTTGTTATCTTTGATGAAGTGATGTTGCGTTATTGTGTCAGCTGAAAAAGAGAAGTGAGAAAGAAGAAAAATAAGGAGTATTCTTAGAAGCCATTTAACAGTATTCATGACTGGTTCAGTATCTGAATAGAGGTGTTTCAGAAGAATGATAGTATATATTATTTCCAGGAGGGAGTGTTGCGTTTGTTTCTCTTCGTCCAGCGGAAAATAGTTCGTTGACAGTCCGTGATTCCTTTACATGGATCTGTCAAAATCATTCTTTCCTTAGCCACGCATTTCTTCTTTTCTGTGAACCCGCATTAACTCCTCCACCTTTCTAATTTTGCAAACCAGGTTAGATTTCCTAAGACGGGGTCTTACTAATATTGTCTTCTCTTTTTCAAAAATAACTAGTGCATTGCAATAATACAACTATATAATATAGTTAATATTAGCAAATTTAATGAAATAACTAATACAAATTATTGATTTATTAACCACCTTCATATTAAAACACTTCTATCTATATTTCAAAAAGTAAAGTATTATCATTTTAAGTATTAAAATATTAAATACTCACATTCAAAAAATGTTATATACTCAAATAATTAATTGATCAAAATTATAATGAATATTAATGATACATGTAAATATAATATTTTGATTGATCAAAATTCCAAAACTCTCTCAACATCTCTAAAAAATCATTAATTATAAAAAAAATTTCTCTATAAAAATGAAGATAATCAAGTGTTTAGGGATGGATCGCTTGTGGGTGGTGGTTAGTGTTCTGAAGCAGAGAATGTTAGCGCAGTTCCTTGTTCCGAAGAGGTATGGGCTAGGGAAAGAGATTCCTCGACATTGCGCAGTGGGGCAGATGCGCATGGTCTCGTTTGTCAAGGGAATGGCACGCATATTGATTTGGTGGACGTTAATAGGGAGCACGTTATGTCTATGGTGGAATTATGTGATACTATCGAAACTAATGGGAAGGTGTATGAAGTGTCGTCCAATTTATTTGTTAATTTGATCGATAAAGGTGATATCAGGTCTCCAGGCTAGGAGCATATAGGCGCTGGTCCCAGAGTGGAAGAGTTATGGGCAAATGATTTTAGTTTTAATTCTAATTTTCCATCTTTGTCTAGTGGGACAGCTGGGCATGACTCAGGTTGTTTGAGGGGCGGTTTTTTCAATAATCTGGAACTTAGGAATGGGGCGCATAGTGGGTCTGAGGTGGCAGTGTGTACTGCTAATGTTGGTATTGTGAAATTGTAGGTGGGGCCGAACACACCTCTTGATGGGAGTAATTCCAAGGCTTTTGATGATAGTATAAGGAGCGTGGATTATTTTAAACATGTCGATCTTTCCATTAGTAAATTATTATTGGAGAATCATGTGGTCAATGCTTTCGAGGGTCATTACTCACCTTGTGATAATCCGGTTTTTAAGGGCAACTCAAAAGTGGTGGAGGATCTTAAGAACATGCATGTCGGTTCAGTAGTGGCATTGGACGTTGCTCACGTTGAAAATGCTGTCGAGGGTTCTTTCACGCCTTTGGATAGCTCGTCAAATAAGGGTTTTGTTGTTGGATCGAATGTAGAGCTAGTTTCTTCTCGAAATGTAGATGAGGGGACTTTATCTAAGTCTCTTGTTGGGTGTGGTTCTGAAGAGTCGTTGATATTGCCGTGTCGGTCCTTTACTAAAAAATTAAAATTGAAGAAATTTGGATCAATGCTGGAAATTCAGGGAAAAATTCTATCTAAAGCTGAGAAAAGAAGACGAGATCGAGCGCTGAAGAAATTAAATTTGAATCAATCGGATCTTTTATCTGATTTATCGGGCACATCTATTTCAGATTATGTTTTAAGGCAAAGGTGGCTTGAAGCTTTTATTGAAGCGCAAGAAGCAATGTCTGTAGATAGGCAACTCGGACTTATGGTCGGTAGTCCTGAAATGGTGGGTCTTTAGAAGTTTTTGTCGTTAGTCTGCGTTGATGTTATTTAGAGTTTTTGTTGGGGTTATTTTAGCGAATGTTTTCGATCTCGGAGATTTTTTTAGTTTTGTTTGATTGGCAAAGGGGGTTACGATCGTTTGTTGTTTGTTCTGGAGATGTTTGGGATAGCATTTTGGAGCTCTGGTCTTTCTATTCATGGCCTGTGTAGTCCCATTGATTTTCAGGTTTGAGGTCGCTCTTTGTTTCAGTTGTCAATGTTGAATCTCTGCTTGGATGCTTCTCCGCTGGAAGTTTGTGCTAAGTTGTTTTGTTGCTCTTCACTTTGTGGTCTTTTCCATTGGTTCCCATCTCTGTTTATAGCTGTGTGTATAGCAGCAGATTTGATGTGTCTTTGTTGTAGCATGTTTCTTAGGCAGTGTTTGCTTCCTTAGGAGCTTGTCTCTGGCTTCCTGTTCTTTCCACCTCATGGTTCACTCTTTTTCCTCCAAATAGGTTTAGGGAGGTTTTTTAATGAGGTCCATGGGGTGGTGTACCTTGTATATTTATTAATACAAAGTACTCATCTTTAAAAAAAAAAGTGTTATAATATTATCGCACTTTGGATGTATATTATTCACTTGTGTACCTAATCTAATATCCATCTTATTTATTAAGGTCCATCGGTAATGTCTTAATGACTGGTATGTTTGATGAATAAATGGAAGTTACATTTTACCATGACAACTTATAGTGCATCTATTAAGTATTCTTCAATGACTTGAGCATGATTCTATAAATGCATGATGTTTATGATATGGTTTTGTAATGATTTTTCAGTATGTTTTATTATACTGTGTTTAATTTTACTGAATTTGAAGTTTAGCTTGTGATGTATTTTCGTATATAGATTTCAAGTGATAAGCATATTTTGCTAACTTCCCAATTTAGGTGGCATGATGTTTATTAGATGATGGTATGTCATAACTATCCTAGCATGACTTTATAGCATATAGAAGTTTTAAAAGCCAAGTGATCAAAGATAGGTAAGCTTGTATATGGTAGATGATCAATGCATATCATGATGAATTTCAAGTAGATGTTCACGAAGCATTGAATTACAGCCATGATGGGATAAATAAATTTCTTTGTCAAAAGCAAATCATTGCATGAGAAAAAAATATTGAAATCAAATACTAAAACATAAAGAAAATAGTCAATTTATTGGGCTTGGTCATGCCTACTAAATTTGCCATAACAGTTAACCCAGAAAGTAACATATTAATGACTCCAACTCCTACTCTCTTCAGCAAATTAATATACCAATCTTCTCAAAACACCTCTAATGAATACCAGTCATGAATCCTGTTAACTTGCATCTCAGAATACTGTTTGTTTTCTTTCTTTCTCACTGCTCCTTTTCTGCAGTCAGCATAACACAAGATCAATTCATAAAAGATAACGATGAATTCATTGTTTCCAGTGGCAAGATATTTTCACTGGGATTTTTCAGTCCTGGAAACTCCACGATTCGATATGTTGGCATCTGGTATCATCAGATTCCGGAGAAGACAGTTGTTTTGGTGGCCAACATAAACAGTCCCATTAAAGATAACTTGGGGATTCTCCAAATCGACAGTCGAGGAAATCTCGCCTTGTTCTGGAGAAACCAAACATTTCCTGTCTGGTCTACTAACATGTCCATCGCAGGCACTAGGAATTCCATTGCTAAAATTTTAGATTCGGGAAACCTTGTTTTGCTTCAGAATGAAACCAGAAAGACGGTACTGTGGCAGAGTTTTGATTATCCTACAAATACTTGGCTTTCTTTACAGAACCTCGGGTTGGATGCTAGAACTGGTCTGAACCGTGTGTATACGTCTTGGAAGTCTCCGGATGATCCAGGGTTGGAGCCTATTCCTTCTGTAACCCCTTAGACTGATGCGGGTGGCCCAATCCGATCCAAGGTATCACATTAGGGCCACCGGAGCGACCCACCGTAAAAATCTCAGAAAAATTATTTTTAAAAAATGTAATATCATAAAACAATTTTTAAACACAAAAGTAAAATTTAACAATATTCAGAAATAAAACAGATTCCAGACTCGGATATAAAAACAAAAATACAAGCTACATGCCCCCTAATTACATGTATCGTACTCCACGAGTAACGCCGGTGGAACTCTCATACTGATGCCGATAGTTGCACTGGTTCAATCATTTTTACCTGAAATAGTGAGTAACAGAGTGAGCTTTGGAAAGCTCAGTAATACAGTACTATCAAATGACGTTGAAATGCATGCAAATAACATATAAACATAGATTTTCTTATTGATTCAGACATCTACAAACTTTTATGCTGAGCTGAGATCCCACTGATATCTCAGATAGTAAAAGACAATAAGTTTTCAATTCAGAGGAAATGTTTCAGATGACTGCGTTCAGGAGATCAGAATAGGGTATTTAGTGTGTTCCCACAAAACCAATGAAAAAATATAGATCTTTTTAAAACAGTAGCAGTTTAAAACGTATTTTTTAAAAATCATAGTAAAACCCTCCAACTGAACGCCATATGCAGTTCCCCAGAACTGCATAACCTAAGGAATCACCTTGGGGCCTGAGAGCATACCCAAGAAAGATTCTCGGGGCCACGAGGCCTACCCAAGAAATATCTCGGGGCCGCAAAGCCTATCCAAGGGTTGCCTTAGGTCCATAAGGAGTTATCAGTCGGTGCTGAACCTATACAAGGAATTACCAGCAGTGACTGAACCTGCCAGAGTCTTCATAGCAAATCCCAGAGTACCACGTATAAAAATAATTTCAGTCAGTAAACAGAGATATCAGAAATCAAAGTAGAGATCAAAAGAGAAATCAGAGAAAACACATCCATGTGATCAGGGAACAAACTAGAGGTTCCAGATATTATTCGGATGAACATGATAATCTTATTGGGCAGGGGGAAACACGAATCTTCAGTATACCGATAGAATACTGGAAATTAGAATTACTATCAAAAGAGTTCATTAGCTGACGGAATCATCAGTTATTCAGAACATGATTTATCAGGATCATAATGTATTCGGATATTTTTCGGAGGCATAATGTAATCAGAAAGGTATTAAGAATCCTTTGCATTTGAGTTACATGTGTTTTTTAGAAATGATAAGAGTGATTCCATTATTCAGAAAATCAGAGGCATTTTGG